GCAAATATGTGACTAGCATTAATTGAAGGTATCACTTTAGTCTCTAGTTTCTCTTACGTTTACGCTAATACTGATAAGACAATGAGTCGCCACAAGCCTACCTTGTACGAGTAATGTGTACACTTATTGTTAGTGAACTAGTCTGGAAACTTGGCAGTGTTCCAAATGTTGCGATAGCTACAAGATCAGAATTAGGAGGAGCGTTACTTCGTAATCTAATTTGACTATCTACTAATCAAGCCTTAAAAATTAGTAATAAATTTAATACACTGGTGTTTTAGTATCTGAAATTGAATCTTTATGCAATGTAGTGGTCATAAGTGCAGAATACATCGAACGTCTACAATTTTTCGGTTGATATTTTACGTATGTTATGACTCCGCCTGGAGTCCCTTTCCGGGGGCTACTGCCGGTCCCAAGCCCGGACAAAGGAGGGGGGTTGGGCATGGGGTTAGCGACCCCATCCCGTAGAAAACTAACTCGCTAGAAAAACGCTAACCAGAAAAAATTATTCAAACCATTTAAACTCTGCCCTGGGAGTCAGGAAGTCTTCGTTTAGAAGAATTATGACGCCTCATGATGAAAGCCGAGTTTCTTCGGAAGTCACGAGGCCGATGCCCCTTCTGACAACCAGAGCAACCATTTATTTAGGTACATGAAATGCTCACACAATGTGGGAGACTGGGAGAGTTTTCCAAATTGCTGCAGAAATGAGGAGATACAATTTAGAGGTGCTTGGGATCAGTGAAACACATTGGACGCAAGTTGGACAACAACGACTAGCTTCAGGGGAGCTGCTGTTATACTCCGGAAATGAAGAAAATGCCCCACATACACAAGGAGTTGCATTGATGCTGTCCAAACAAGCACAAAATTCACTTATAGGATGGGAATCTCATGGACCAAGGATCATCAAAGCCTCTTTCAAAACAAAGAAAACGGGGATTACAATGAACGTCACCCAATGCTACGTGCCTACCAACGACTACAAAGAAGACGCTAAAGATCAATTCTACGATAGGCTGCAGTTAATCGTCGAGAAGTGCCCAACAAAGGACCTGACCATTCTGATGGGAGATTTAAATGCCAAGGTTGGAATTGACAACACCGGATATGAAGAGATTCATGGGACGACACGGACTGGGAGAAAGGAACGAAAATGGTGAGAGATTTGCAAATCTATGTGTCTTCAATAAACTGATCATAGGCGGGACTATATTCCCACATAAACGCATACACAAGACCACATGGACTTCACCGGATCACAGCACACAGAACCAAATCGACCATATCTGCATCAACAAAAAGTTCAGGAGGACGATGGAGGACGTGAGAACAAAGAGAGGAGCTGATATAGCATCAGATCATCACTTGCTGGTCGCCAAGATGAAATCGAAACTCAAGAGGCACTGGACAACGGGGCGGACAATATCACAAAAATTTAATACGTCTCTTCTTCGGGATAATGACAAACTCAATAAATTCAAGATAACCCTCAGCAATAAGTTCCAGGCCTTTCATGATCTACTCAATGGAGAAGAAACTACTATGGAGAGCAACTGGAAAGAGATAAAAGAATCAATCACTTCAACATGTCATGAGGTTCTGAGCCAAAAGAAGCACCATCACAAGGATTGGATCACGGTCGATACACTGGATAAGATTCAAGAAAGGAGGAACAAGAAAGCAGCAATCAATACCAGTCGAACAAGAGCAGAAAAAGTCAAGGCACAGGCTGAATACACAGAAGTAAACAAGCAGGTGAAAAGGAGCATCAGAACTGACAAACGTAAATATGTGGAAGATTTAGCAATGACGGCGGAAAAGGCTGTCAGAGAAGGAAACATGAGACAACTGTATGACACAACAAAGAAACTCTCTGGAAATCACCGTAAACCAGAACGACCAGTGAGAAACAAGGAAGGCAAGATAATCACCAACGTTGAAGAACAACGAAACAGGTGGGTAGAACACTTCAAAGAACTCTTGAATCAACCAGCCCCACTGAACCCACCCAAAATCGAAGCAACACTCACGGACCTCCCAATTGATGTTGGCGCACCGACAATTGAAGAAATCAGCATGGCTATCAGACAAATCAAGAGTGGCAAAGCAGCAGGACTAGACAGCATTCCAGCAGAGGCACTGAAAGCAGACGTAGCGGCAACTGCAAGGATACTCCAAACTCTCTTCAGAAAGATCTGGGATGAGGAACAGGTACCAAAAGACTGGAAAGAAGGACTTCTAGTCAAAATATCGAAGAAAGGCGATCTCAGCAACTGTGACAATTACAGGGGAATCACTCTTCTTTCAATACCAGGAAAAGTCTTCAACAGGGTATTGTTAAACAGGATGAAGGACTCCGTAGACACCCAACTTCGAGACCAACAGGCAGGATTCCGTAAGGATAGATCGTGCACAGACCAAATCGCAACTCTACGGATCATTGTGGAACAATCAATTGAATGGAATTCATCACTCTATATCAACTTCATTGACTACGAAAAGCATTTGATAGCGTGGATAGAACAACCCTATGGAAGCTTCTTCGACACTACGGCGTGCCTCAGAAGATAGTCAATATCACACTGAATTCCTACGATGGATCAAACTGCAAAATCGTGCATGGAGGACAGTTGACAAAGTCGTTCGAAGTAAAGACCGGTGTCAGGCAAGGTTGCTTACTCACCCTTTCTCTTTCTCCTTGTGATCGACTGGATCATGAAGACATCAACATCTGAAGGGAAGCACGGGATACAGTGGACAGCTAGGATGCAATTGCATGATCTAGACTTCGCAGATGATCTGGTTCTTCTATCGCATACGCAACAACAAATGCAGGAGAAGACAACCAGTGTAGCTGCAGCCTCAGCAGCAATAGGTCTCAATATACACAAAGGGAAAAGCAAGATTCTTCGATACAACACAGCATGCACCAATCCAATCACAATTGACGGAGAAGCTTTGGAAGATGTAAAAACCTTTACATATTTGGGCAGTATCATCGATGAACACGGTGGATCTGATGCAGATGTGAAGGCACGGATTGGCAAAGCAAGAGCAGCATATTTACAACTGAAGAATATCTGGAACTCAAAACAATTAGCAACCAACACCAAAGTCAGAATTTTCAATACAAATGTCAAGACAGTTCTACTGTATGGGGCGGAAACCTGGAAAACTACGAAACCCATCGTCCAAAAGATACAGGTGTTTATTAACAGTTGTCTACGCAAAATACTTCAGATCCGCTGGCCGGACACTATAAGCAACAACCTACTGTGGGAGAGAACAAATCAGATCCCAGTGGAGGAAGAAATCAGGAAGAAGCGCTGGAAGTGGATAGGACACACATTGAGAAAAGCACCGAACTGCGTCACAAGACAAGCCCTCATATGGAATCCTCAAGGTCGAAGGAGGAGAGGAAGACCAAAGAATACATTACGCCGGGAAATGGAGATGGATATGAGAAAAATGAACAAGAATTAAATGGAACTAGAAAAGAAGGCCCAGGACAGAGTGGGTTGAAGAATACTGTTCGGTGGCTTATGCTCTATTGGGAGCAACAGGCGTAAGTAAGTAAGTAATGACTGTTAAGCATATATATCATATTTGCTACCCGGGTCGCGATTCAACTTGTTTGGTATGTAGTCTTAGGCAAATATCGCCTTTTGGAGACTAATACTAATCTAGTTTAAATGACTTTAAAGGCGGTGTTGATTGTAATGTGATATAAAACTTGGATGTATTTTTGGGGTAAATAGCGCTGGCGACCGTGCTGCTTGCTCGTTTTAAAAGGAGTCGATCATAAGCGATTAATAGCACAACTATGTATTTCCCCCAGTTTTTTAAAGAAATTATTTAGACTGGACAGTGGCCTCAAATGATTAAACAATTTAACCGACCAAACAGAGACAGCTGTTTCGCTGAGTCATAAACAATTTACATGGTTATATTGCAGTAAAATTTTTAGACCTTTTATGTCTAATTTAGCCTACCGCATGTGTTCTTCACCTGGGAAGTAATCGAGGCAACTGCTAGTTGTTTATTGGCGCAAGCTGATGAAGCAGAACGTCGTGACTTACCTCCAGCAGCACAAGAACGAATACTTCTGGAAGAATTCGGACGCACACTGGAACGCGTAATTGAGGCAGCTAGCAAGGTAAGAGTACGTTGTGTCATGCTCATAGTAACTGATAGTCAGTGAATAACTATGAAGTTTTTCCTGACAGTTTTTATCGTGATTCATTGTATGACTTTTGGTTTTAGGCGCAAATACGATCGTCCAGTGGTATCCATACGTCTGCTTCAATTGATGATAATGATCAAGGGCTAATACATAGTGGGGGATCAACTGGTCCAGGTAGTCTAGGTGGAAAGGGCAGTGGAGCGGTCGGAGTGGCAGCAGCAGCTGCCGCGGCCGCGGATGTTCTACGGGACGATGAGGATGACGAGGATGAGATGATGCATGATATTGATGTAGAAGAGGAAGAAGATGATCCTGACGAAATGGATGATGAAATGTATGGTATTGTTGGTGGGTCGACGATCTCACGTCATGGACACTCGCGCTCTCATCTAGGGCGCCGCCATATGCCAAGCAGTCACCGGTCTACACATCTGGTTCCTGAGCTAGATGATGACATAATGAGCGATGAAGATCCTGTCGAAAGAGCCCATGCTGTATCATCTAGTAATAGGCAAGGAATAATGTCGCATCGGTATCAAGAAATGCACTCGCGTCGAACATCGCAAGCTGTTGAAGACCGATATATTCATTCGCGCCGAAGTATGAGCAGTCGCAGTTATCGTCATCATGACCCAGACTCGATGGTATAATTCATAGTTTATCTTACTTTCTGTATGACATCGCCCATACATTTGTAAAGTAATCAAACATTTTGTATACATACCCTACACAGAATTATCATTCAATTAGTGTTTCCTTTTACAATTTATGAGTCAACTACTATGTTAAGCATCGTGTATTTTTGAATCTGTATAATACATTATATTTTACATAAGCTCATTTTCTTTTTATTCGAGCATTAAGTTGTTGAACATAAGCTTACCAACGCGCACGTAGTTTTCACGCTCTTCTTTAGTCATTGTCTTCACCATTACCGGAGTTACATCTGTATAAAGCATAAGCTGGCCTCCAACAGTAACCTCGAACTTCTTTGTGTGAAGGTCCACAGACGTGTTTTCTAGAAAATAAAGAGAAATTGGATTTTCGAAAGTGGCTAGTTAAACATGAACTGCAGATAAAATGTTCTAGTAACATGTGACTTAATTTTTCTGTCTACTAAACTATTTGAGCTCGAGAAAATTGTGATTCCCATTCATAATAGGCGACTAATCATACACTTATGCGAGAATAGTATGCAGGTTAGTGTAAACTAGCACTCGGGTGGCGGAGTATTGGTGCCCTACACTAGTTTCGTACGAATCAACTACAACGTTTGACAAATATTATCGACTCAAGACCACATACTCAACATCACGAATAATTTGAGAGGATACACAAGAAACATGTAGACTTATAGTAGGAGAAAAGAGAATATAGAAGGTTAAATAATGAAGTGAAATACTACCAAACTTTAATATAAGGAAGAGATTTTGCTTATCTGCATCACTAATCAAATAATAGGTGCCTTAAAACCTATCTAACCGCAGATTGTGGTTAATGGGTTTGGTTATAAAATACAACAATAACACTATTTATGCACTAATTAGTTCTATTTTATATTTTTACACGATAGCAAAACAATGCCTCCACATCCCGTGTGAAGGTACGTTACCGAATGTAAGGGACAATTCGTAAGCTCCAGGTTTACCGATATGTGCGTATTAAAGAGAAGACGAAGCCCAGGGAGAATGGTGAATATTAGGGACAGCAGAAATATTAAGAAGCCAGGAAAGGAGTTAAATAATGGACAGGTGGTTAACACTGTCCGATTGTGCGAATTGTTGTATGATATTTATCCTTAAGGGGTCCGAAGAAATCGCTTCCTTTTTTTCATCACTTAATGGTTTTATTTTGTCATTCAATTTTAATTAAAAGCAAATCCCTAAACTAACCAAAACTTACCCGTGTTAACCAGGAGATCTGGTTGGGCAAGTGTAGTTTTATGTGCATTATTGCGACCTATGGGGAAAAAACAGTAATATTAGTAAATACCGAAGTTAGAAATAGTATATTTACGGTACTTAAGATATTGGACTGACCTGGAACAATAACATTTTTAGCGGAATTCCGGGTGAGTAGACCACGTCTCTCGTGTACAAGTAATAATTGCATAATATCACTGGACGAAGCTGTATTGGTCCCACCAGTGGTATTTGTCATTAGATTAGTTTCCGAGGTAGCAGTATCCGCTAGCCTGTTGTGAAAAACACCGGTTGTAACAGAATTGGATAAGTTACTACCAAATCCAGAGGGCACTCTCCCAGGGGCAAGAGTCTGAGTGATAGCGTCTTCAGGAGTATGGTTTGAATGAAACTCGGATGCATTTGAAAATATATTCAGTTGTGAATCCGTATCTCCAATTCCTAAACAGTATATGAAGCAAAATTAATCCGTCATAAGTATGAATAAAATGTAAGTTGGAGTTGCGACAAAATGAGGCAGGTTCAACCAGATATACTCACTCAATATTCAACTAAAAGCTATATTGAGTTCCTATGATAAATATAAAATGTGTTTTTGCTACCATATTAACCACCAAAAAGTGGTATTGAAGCAAATAACACAGTCTAATAATGGGGAACACTTGCCTGGAGTTGGGTTGAGATTTATGGTGCTGTCAGACATCCATATAGGTCTTTCTTTGACCACTTGGTTTGATCCACTTGAGTTTCCACTTAGCACGATCCGAACACTGCTTTCAGTTGGACCGAATAGAGACGAGTTTTTTTTATTTTTATCACCAGGCAGAATAGAGTTCCTACCGACGTTTTGAGAGGAAATCTGGGATTCATCACAGGTATCCTGATAAATGAAAAAAGTATTTACACAGTAACAGTGTTAATTTGCAAAGTTACCATTAATAAATATAGCTAACAGAATAGTTCCAGTTAAAAAAGTTGTACATAACCTTCCGACTAAAAGTGACTTTACTTGCTAAGACTAGATAATCATTGGAAATGACTATACAATCTCTCCTGACCGTTGTTGCTACCTTGACGTGCATAACCGGGACTTGGTAACAACATATCTGAAAAGAATTGCGTCCCAGATTTGGTCGTTTATGTATTATTTATTTGCTTACTCTTCAACAGGTTTTGAAATATTAGTATCCCGACCGTTGTTGCTACCTTGACGTGGTGGTCGGGCTTGCCTATCGTGATGAAGCAACTGAGCTATACTGGCTGGAACAACCGTTCCTCAAGGTCCTACCATGCCAGACAGGTCGGTTGAAGAGCGGTAAGACTAAAAGCAACAAAACCAAGGTCCGAAGGCGAATTCGTACTGCTGACTGTACAGAGGTGTGACAGCAGTAAGGTGTTTCCTTCAGACAACCAGCATAACAGCGATGCTGCCTTCCCAAAAGGAGGGGTGGGGTTAGAAAAGGTCGACCCTAAAAATGCACACCTCGCCTTATCCCACGGATATCCGGCTCCGGCGGTAAGGTCTCAACAAGTACGGAGCTAACACAAAAATTACTCATAAAAAGGTCGTGTGTGACCGACCTCAAGCAGCTGTCCCTTGAGCACTGCGGTCACGCTCTCAGGTCACTATGACTACCTCTAATCCAATTTCCTTTTCAGGTACCTCCAGGAGAACCCTTCCACGGTGTGGGCAACCGGGAAGTGATAACCGAACTCATATCTCTAACAGCACTCAAGACCACTGTATTCATAATCAACGTACCTCTTCAATTCCTATTATTCCTCTTACATCGACTTTCAAATCTAAACTCCCTCTTTCGGCTTCCTCCTCAAGTGTCACCACAGCCAACGATTCTAGTGCGCAAAACACTGTCCCAGGTCTACTGAAACCTCGCTCCAAACTACACATTGGAGCCTTCAACGTACGCACACTATGCCAAATCGGTCAGCAGGCTTCCTTGGCTAAAACCTTAGAATCTCGTACCATTGATGTATGCTGTGTCTCCGAAACACGCATACAGGATCCTAGTGTGGTCATTCACTTGACCTCACCTCGGCAAAACGGAGAGCCGACGATATACACCCTCCGTGTATCTGGCGACCCGATGGCTAGTTCTCGTGGACTGGCAGGTGTAGGCATAGCACTAAGCATGAGGGCGGAACAAGCGCTATTAGAGTGGATCCCCGTTAATAGTCGTCTATGCGCTGTTCGGCTAAACGGCTCCGTAAGAACTCGAAAGAATAGGGACACATGTCGTTGCCTTTTCGTCGTTTCTGCCTACGCTCCCACTGACTGAAGTTCGGATGAAGTGAAAGATGAATTTTACAGAAAACTCTCTGAACTTCTTCAGAAAGCTAAACGTTCAGACATAGTACTCGTAGCAGGCGACTTTAATGCCCAGGTAGGTAGCTTAAACGAAACAGAAAGACATTTAGGTGGGTATTTTAGTATTCCGGCACAGAGAACAGATAATGGTGATCGTCTGCTGCAACTTTGCTCAGACAATCGTTTATTTTTAGCAAACACAAATTTTAAGCATAAGGAGAGACATCGTCTAACATGGCGACCCCCTGCACCAAACCAACGATGGACTCAAATAGACCATATTGCCATCAGTCATCGTTGGAGAGGGTCGACAGAAGATTGTCGCTCATTCTGGAGTACCTGCCTTGACTCCGATCATGTCCTAATACGAGCACGCATCTGCTTGCGCCTCACTGGATGCAAAAAAGCCACACTAAAAAGACCCATTAGAACTGGACTAAGTAACGAGAAAACCAAAAGTAGGTTCCAGGAACAACTAAGGTCACACTTAGGTAGTTCTGAAAACGAGGCTGACCCAGATGTTGCTTGGAAAGATATACGAACAGCTGTGGAAACAGCACTGACATCTATTAGTGACTTAAACCAAAGGGTTACTGAGAACCAATGGATTTCTTCAAGGTCTATTACACTGATGGATTCTCGTAAACTCATCCCATCAGGTTCTGAACACGATGAAGAGCGTAAAGAAATCAGATCTAGGTTAAGCAAAAGTCTAAGGAATGATCGTGAGCAGTGGTGGGCAACGAAAGCAAAAGAGATGGAAAAGGCGGCGGCTATAGGGAACACAAGACAACTCTACAGACCAATAAAAGAAACTGGAATTAATAAATCAAGTGTAAGTCAGACTATTTCGGAAAAAGACGACACTCTCATCTGCTCCCAGTCCAGACGTTTAGAACGATGGGCGGAACATTTTAAGGAGCAGTTCAGTTAGCCTTCAGCTACTCTACAACTACCCTCTATTCCCAGACAGTATGAATGGAACATTGAAGTAGGTCCTCCAACTCTAGCTGAAGTTCAAAAGGCTATAGCTAATCTGAAACGAGGAAGGGCAGCTGGTCCAGACGGATTGGCCCCAGAGGTCTTTAAGGATGGTGGTCTAGTTTTAGCGATTAGGTTGACTTATATTTTAGCTAAAATCTGGGAGTCAGACGTTATCCCATCTAACTGGTCACAATCACTTATCGTCCCAATATTTAAGAAAGGGTCAAAATCATCCTGTGACAACCACAGAGGGATTAGTTTAACTAATATAGTATCTAAAATACTGGCCTCGATAATTATCGGACGCCTAACTAAGACTCGTGAACTGCAAACACGTAAAAATCAGGCTGGCTTCAGACCTGGTCGTGGCTTCATCGACCACATATTCACCATTCGTCAGGTTCTAGAACACAGGCATACTTATCGGCGTCCGACAATAGTGGTCTTCCTTGACTTAAAAGCAGCGTTTGACTCTGTTGACCGAGAGGTTCTGCAGAAGTGTCTGTCATTGAAAGGTGTACCTCAGAAGTACATAACCCTTGTGAAGGCTCTTTACTAGAACACTACTAGTCGAGTCAGAGCTTATGGCGAACTGTCATCTGCTTTCGCAACCTCAAGTGGCGTCCGCCAAGGCTGTCCACTTTCTCCATTTTTGTTTAACTTCATCATAGATCTACTGATGGAAATAACGCTCTCATCGACTGAATTCTTGGGTATTGGTCTCCTACCAGGAGGTCCACTTATTGACTTAGAATACGCAGATGACATAGTCCTGTTTGGTGAAGACGCTGATGAAATGCAGAGTCTTTTGGTAGCACTGAGCAACAATGCCAGAATGTTTGGGATGCGTTTCTCCCACTCTAAATGCAAGTTGTTGCTTCAGGACTGGTCTGCATCAACACCTGAACTAAGGATAGGGGGTGAAGTAGTCGAACGCGTCGACAACTTCACTTATCTTGGAAGTCTGATCAGCCCTAATGGGTTGGTGTCTGACGAAATCTCAGCACGGATTCGAAAAGCTCGTTTGGTCTTTGCCAACTTACGTCATCTATGGCGCAGGCGAGATATCCGTCTATCAATTAAGGGACGAGTATACTGCGCGGCAGTTCGTTCCGTTCTACTATACGGCTGCGAAACTTGGCCTTTAAGAGTAGAAGATATTCGTAAGTTACTAGTATTTGACCACAGGTGCCTTAGAAATATTGCTGGTATCTGCTGAGATCACCGGGTAAGTAATAGTGAGGTTAGACGCAGGGTATTAGGGAATGATGGTAAATCAGTTGATGAGGTTATGAATCTTCATCGACTGAGATGGTTGGGTCACGTGTTGCGTATGCCTGAACACCGATTACCACGGCGCGCAATGCTAACCGGTGTTAGGGATGACTGGAAGAAAGTTAGAGGCGGCCAAACCACAACGTGGCATCAGTGCTTGAAGTCACTAACTTCTGGTCTGAGCCATGTTGGTAGACGCAGACTGCCTGATTGGGGTCCGCGTGACTATCGTAACCAATGGTTGGAGACCCTTGGTGACATGGCTCAGAATCGATCACAATGGCGTAGGTGTATACACTCTCTATCTTCCTTTAAACTAAGAGATTAAAATCACTTCATATCTTTCTTTCTAGGAACTAATTCTTTCTTCCTGTACTATATCCTTATATGCAGTCTTTCTTCTATATATTACCACCACTGAATTAACTACTTCTATGAATCCGGTGTTCATCTTGTTGTGCTAATGCGGTATGGCAACTTGGACCGATGCATATACGTGCCTGGTCCTACGTTGCAGCTGATTGACTGACTATACAATCTAGCGTTAAAAAATTGTGTTCTGCCCAGTTGAAGTCAACAAACTATCCAACTAGCGAAATATAAAAATTGCTACGTAGTCCAAGTGTACCATAGGAATTTAAGGATCCTGATGGGAACAATGTTGTCTGAACTTGTAGTTCAGAAAAGAAATATCTTATGCTGATTTATTGTGTTAAGAATTAAAACTACCGAATAAAAGTCACGAAACATTCTCATCAAAAGACAGTACAGAAAACATAGAACATCTAGATCGGACAAATAACACATGGCTGTCATTAAAGTGCGAAATAAGATTTTGGTCATAGATCCAAATTCAATGGTCGGCAAGATTGATCATTATTGGGACAATATTCCAAAGGGATCAAATTTAAAAATATTACGGCAAATATGATTTAAATAAAAAGTGCGGATACAATAAATGTGAAGCAATTGTATTCTCCAGATTTACATGATATTCCGATTGAGTTCTAAATAGTACTAATCTTTGTATGAGACAACTAATTTAAAATTTGGATATAAATGAAAGTTAATTATGTTTCAAAAAAATGCTGTAAATGACAAGGCAAAACAAATCATTATGATGAAGCCTACTCATAAGACAGTCATTCAAACCAATAAAATAATAGAAACCAAGATATAGTAAAATACATTTTACAAACAAATGAGTACACAATCACCAAAGTAGATTGTCTTAAGGGAATAAATATTAATGTATCCCTACTAGTGGACCGGCCATGAACACCATAAATCATGAAGCCAACTTTTAGTAAAAAGACAATAACACATAGATATATATAATAAAATCACACTGAAAACGTTTATGACTATTTGGAGTTGCTATATCATATTTATGAAAACAGACAATGAGAGATGATTTATTGAACGGCTTAACTCAATTTACAAATACTCCATAGGTGTGAGCAAGATTCGGAGGCTTAAGAATAATATATATTTCGAAAAACAGGTAAGGTGAAAACAACAAGCGCCAATTCAGTAATGAATAAGTAAGTTTATTAAGTTGGAATCAATGCTTTTCCAGTTTTTATTAACGAACACTGTATAGTCGCATTATAGCACCCTGAACATGGTCCTAGAAATCAAACAACTCAAGGGTTATCGTAGGACTGAGGTCAGTCAGGACTCTGAAATAGTGATGTGAACTACTGAAAACAAGGACAGAAAAGGGACTCCTTTCTTGAGATTTTTACAACAAAATTATCCAATTTCAGAGCTTGTCTTGTGTACTAATGAAATAGATAACATAACTTTTGAACCACATTTACTAAGAAAATGTTATCTACACCAAATCCTAACTCTGACATTCGGCTACAGAGTGACTAATACAATTACCACATGTTGACAATAACATTAGTTGTAATACCACTTTGGGATTTGTCCGTTTTGTATATCCACTGAGAAAATAACAAGAGTAACAACCAATCCTAAAGTGTTTCACCTCTCTATAACTACAAATACCCTAGTTTATCGAGTCAAAACACAAATGATACAATCAATGAAGTACACGGAAGAAAGAACGAGCAACAAATGGCATAGGATACACAGAAAACGGAATATGATTTTTCAAAGTTCAACGCTTAAAGATGACGAGCGAGTAAGTTTAAATGACTTCGATCACCTACAATCTCCAACAAACAAGTGTTAGTATCTGGATTACTCTTGCTACAGTTCACTCTACTAGTTAATGACTTGATATGAAACTAAAACGCGTGATTTCCTCTTCTGATTAGTCTATCGTATTATCCGGTACTTATAACGATCCTAGGAATGAATAATCAGAAGTCGGGTAAACTGAATTAATATCAATGACTATAGTTTTGAAGCAAGAGATAAATGCTTTGAAAAGACCCATAAGTTTTACATCTCTCTACTAAGAAAGGCCATGGTTCGAAGCGTAATAGGAACAAATTGTGGACCGAAATTTGACTTGATAATTTCATCTCCATGTTCTAATGCTATATGACAAATTGAGCCGATTTACAAATTTGTCAAGTTCTATGTTGTATATGACTGAAGTTGTGTACCCCAGTACAGCATGTCTTCATATACTTAGGATACACTACTGGTGCTGTAAATGGTGAGGGTTCACAAAGTTTTGTGTACGTCACCTGTATCAGTGTTACAGATAAGTATATATATAAGAGTTCTCAACCCAATAAAAGGAAATTCTCGACATTAGGGGAGCATAAGTTTCGTAACTTTCAGTTAGTTATTTGAACTCCATTAATATTTCCTAACTTCAACAAATCTGTTAGGGCTGATGTAATTCAGAAAGAAAGATTGGGATGTTGCCTAAGGTCTTACTGACTGCTTTTAAGTTAATACATTTAGATGTCAACTCACTTACTATGAGACGAGTTTAATGTGTCTAGTGATACATGAAAATATATTTTTGTTTCACGACAGATGTTTGCTCAGGTCAAGTGTATACTCAAACTACATACACCTAAAACCTCCATAAACAGAGTGGACAAGCTGAGTAAAATAATGAACTTACATCGTTTAGAGGTTCAAGAGGACGGATTTCTGGTTCGAGTATTGAAGGTGACAAGTGTATTTCATCACATTCACGAAGCATTAGATCGATCGGATCTCGAACCTAAAAAATATCAATCTATAAATTAATCAGTAAGGTAACTAAATTATTAAGGAAAATTATTTCGTAAAAAATTACATGAAAATGATGTATTTGAACGTAGCAAGAATAACATGTACCTGCGGTAGCATATAAATATGAAGGGTTTCTACTAGATTTTCTGAAGGCATTCCTGGAAACTTAAGGTAGAAAAGGAATAAAGTTACCACCAGTGCCATTGACCTTTAGTATAGTGGGTATGAAGTGAATATGGGTAATGCATTCAAATAATTAACAGACAACCAACATCGATTTTACTTTGTTTTGCAAAGACAATTAGCAACAAACCTATACGACCTGACACATATATACAGGAGGGAAATGTGAAGCCGCCTTTGACATGGTAACTGAGTTTTTATTAAACCATCTTTACTAGATTTTTTATCACTTTCCTCTTTTTTCGTCTTCTGATATGTCTTACATAATCCTATTGATGTTCACATATTGATTTGATTTGTTAACATGTTGAGCGATTACCCAATCAATTATTAATAACATTACTCATACATAACCACTTCTGTCATGGTTATAACTACTAGTAACACCTATTCTACTCTGCATTATTAATTCTCGACAAATAGATACACACCGATCTGAACTGTTTCTATTCTTAAATTTCGTATCCTATTTTTCTTATTATTATGGCCTCGGTTACGTTTAGAAGATATATTTACTGAATATACATACAATTAGCCCCCAAATTCCCTGGTAGGGCCGAGATTGAGGAGAGTCAGCTCTCCATCTTGAGATACTCTCACATGGCCAAGCGTATACAGCCCCTGCCAGAGAAGTCCTACTCACTGTGTTTTTGTGGCGGAGGCATTGTTTACAAAACTGAGAGGATGAAAAGCGAATATTTAACGCTTTATCCGGGTTGGTGGATATAGAGGATTCACCTAGGGGAGTTGGAAAACCCTGAATCGAAACCAATAGTGCACATGGGCTACAAGATCCTGAATGAACACATGGCATGTGATCCTATTTTTGGTCACCGGCTATCATGGGACTGTATCTCCTTACGTTGCTCCTCTGCCTTGTGGATCAGACCTTTAGGTCGAAGGCTCCGGGTGTAGCCTCCTAAGAAAACCATCTGCTTCGGTCAGGGCACCCGGGCAGTATCACAACCCAGACACAAGTCACTTGCCTTGTGTGGTGCATATGTATTCGGTGCCCCTTTGTACCAGTATTTATGTGTTCAAATAAATAAATACAATTGCTTGAATAGAACTGTACTGTAACTTGAAGTATTCTCGACAGAACACATACTGTTCTGAAGCAAATTTAAGAGAAATCAACTACTATCTAACAAATTATATGTTTTACTTGAAGTGGTTTTTGGGATGGGTTGGTATTAGCTTGGGAACAAGAGAAATCCAAAGTGCGATGGACAAGTATTTTATACTAATCTTCAGCACTGTGTTCCGACTATGCGATCAGAGATTTAACCCACGATATTTAGTTGTCATAGAGAGAGAACGACCTTTATAACTATGATTAGGAGTTCAGTGTTCCAAATTCTAAATTTCAATTCGGAATGTAAGGCGATGACCATTTAACGTCACTTACAGGTAATTGGCTACCTTTTAATTAAGTTGCACGTTATCAGTTACATCTCACTAGAACAGTTCTATTATCAAGTCATTAGGACTTCCAAAACAGTTGAGAAATCAGATGTCTTGGGTTTATTCGTATGTGAAAATCACCAATGATATAATGTGAAGGTAAAGTATTGAGAAAGGAAGAAATGTACGATACCTTAACAGTTCTCGTTATTTGTGTAGTGTGACCTGCTTAATTTTCATACAAATATCTTAACAATGAACTGCACGAACCGAGTGTTGCCTAAAATATATTGCAATGAACAGTCTTTTCATTACACCAGATCTATCAAAGGGAACAATTGCCTTAAATGTCTTTGGTGAGCATAAAAATATAAACTAAAAATGGACCATACCTGATGGTGAAACTTTGCGATTAAAGCACGAGCATCTGTTCGTGAAGCGTTATCTTCTTCTTCACAAACTTCCCCACGACAATATACGCATACAAGTTTTCCCGGATTAGTAAAATCCATTAAACGATCCACTTCCAAGTCTGTATAGGCAGTATTGCAAGAAGAGCATTTGAAACTAGCTCGACTTGTTGACTGTCTTTGTTCAGCTTCTAGTCGACGTTGCATTTGATCCAGTCGATACTTGACCACATTGACAAACAGCTAAATAAATCAGAAGTGACACATTTGATATATATATATATATATATATATATATATATATATATATATATATATATATATATATATATATATATATATATATATATATATATATATATAATCTAGATTAATTGATTATTCACAGGAAACCATAGGCTTTCTAAAGACGATTTCTCTTTCTTATAATTTAACTGACCTACTACGCAAACTAGTACTACATTTGAAAGATTTGTCAAGAAATTCCGGGTGACCAAGTATTCTAAACGCAAATCTTTCTTGAAGAAAAGTTTCTACGGTTATAATCTTTGCCCACGGTCATTTCATCTGTCAGTCGACAATGTAATGCCTAGGGAAAATGTGCATCGCCCGAAGTTCCCACAAGCAACAACAATACAGCGAGAGAAAACTAACACGAAGAAAAGCAAAAAAACGTCAGATTAAGGAATCAAAGGAATACAAATTGGAAAGTGATCGGAGTTAAAGTGCAGAAGATAATATTTGAGAAAAAACGGGATTGATGCTATCGCAATTTTTTTAGTCACCGCCTACAGCAAAACACAACTATTTGGTGTACAAAAACTATGAAGTCTACATATTCTCACAGGATGGGGGCAGTGATTTCGTGAACTATCAGTTCACGAAATAGTTTATCCTGATTTGGGTGTCTTTTGCTTTCTTCCAGCCGAATTCTATGCAAACAACCAGGGCTTGCCAAGGTAGCCACACACGGGTAAAGAACCATAACCAGACCAATCAGTCCTCCGTTTTTATTTGAAACCTTAGGTACAATCTTAGCATTATTTTTTTGTGGGTTGTTGATAATTCATGAGTTTGGCTTTAAATCCACAGGTCATCTGTTTAAAAGCCGCATCACCTACTTCGATTTTCACAACCAGGAGGTATTACAAGTAATTATGAATTAACTTTTATGATTAGTTAACGAAGACATTTTGGGGTTTTTAAATTAATGGATGCAATACCAACCGATCAATTGATAATATGCAGTAATTTGATGTGATTAACGGATGGTTGCTAACGAGGCCAAATTGTTGATGTACCCGCCAAATGAACAAATATAAGAAAGAAAGAGGTCTTAATTTAATAAAGTAACGTGCTTATATATTTAGTATTCACACCACATAATCACTGCGTGGCATGGGCGACGTAAGTAAATCAGCTTGGTTGATTATTCGCCAATCAAATAGGACTTGAGTGTTACACCTAATTCTTGGTTATCATCTCACAAGCGCTCAAATCAAAAGTAAAACTCAAAGCCGGGTGCATAAATATGTATTTGGTAAATGAACTTTGTTGGCTGTACAACACGCAAGATATGCTCCGCAGAAATCTATGGCGAACTAGTTCAGACCTTCCAGTTTTAAGCTCATGTTTTACAACCGTAAAACATGAAATAGCGGAGTTCTGTGCAATATACTCGAACTTTGTCTTGGACAGAAGCAGTGTAATTAAGTTAGAAAAGCCACCCAAATATTTTTGTGTAAAGTTTTCGACAGCGTTCTACTTACTAAGGCTGACAAAATTGGTAACAAAAATGAGGTTAACATGTAAAACTATTTCACATTCTAGGGTCAGAGAAGGCATAAACACCTAACAGTGCTATATATTTATGTAATATTGTCTGCAGCTGCAAGATCCATTGGTAAGATGTTAGAAAACAAAAACCAAATCTTTTAGAACATATTCAAGACAAAATCAAATAAAAATGGAGAATATGGTCAGCTTTGTTATAGTGGATTCACACAACAATGTATTTGACTGTAAGTGCGAAGAGACACTAGTAGGTTGCCATCCGTTTTTGGTATGCAATTCAAGGGCAAACGCTTTCAGAATACTTCAATTCCAACACGGCAAAATTTAGTCTTTGAGTTAAACATTGGGACTACAATCGGGAGTCGATGGGTAAACCAATATTTCAGTCAGTCAGCTGAAACGTAGGACCAGGCACGTATATGCATCGGTCCAAGTTGCCATACCGCATTAGCACAACAAGATGAACACCGGATTCATAGAAGTAGTTAATTCAGTGGTGGTAATATATAGAAGAAAGACTGCATATAAGGATATAGTACAGGAAGAAAGAATTAGTTCCTAGAAAGAAAGATATGAAGTGATTTTAATCTCTTAGTTTAAAGGAAGATAGAGAGTGTATACACCTACGCCATTGTGATCGATTCTGAGCCATGTCACCAAGGGTCTCCAACCATTGGTTACGATAGTCACGCGGACCCCAATCAGGCAGTCTGCATCTACCAACATGGCTCAGACCAGAAGTTAGTGACTTCAAGCACTGATGCCACGTTGTGGTTTGGCCGCCTCTAACTTTCTTTCAGTCATCCCTAACACCGGTTAGCATTGCGCGCCGTGGTAATCGGTGTTCAGGCATACGCAACACGTGACCCAACCATCTCAGTCGATGAAGATTCATAACCTCATCAACTGATTTACCATCATTCCCTAATACCCTGCGTCTAACCTCACTATTACTTACCCGGTGATCTCAGCAGATACCAGCAATATTTCTAAGGCACCTGTGGTCAAATACTAGTAACTTACGAATATCTTCTACTCTTAAAGGCCAAGTTTCGCAGCCGTATAGTAGAACGGAACGAACTGCCGCGCAGTATACTCGTCCCTTAATTGATAGACGGATATCTCGCCTGCGCCATAGATGACGTAAGTTGGCAAAGACCAAACGAGCTTTTCGAATCCGTGCTGAGATTTCGTCAGACACCAACCCATTAGGGCTGATCAGACTTCCAAGATAAGTGAAGTTGTCGACGCGTTCGACTACTTCACCCCCTATCCTTAGTTCAGGTGTTGATGCAGACCAGTCCTGAAGCAACAACTTGCATTTAGAGTGGGAGAAACGCATCCCAAACATTCTGGCATTGTTGCTCAGTGCTACCAAAAGACTCTGCATTTCATCAGCGTCTTCACCAAACAGGACTATGTCATCTGCGTATTCTAAGTCAATAAGTGGACCTCCTGGTAGGAGACCAATACCCGAGAATTCAGTCGATGAGAGCGTTATTTCCATCAGTAGATCTATGATGAAGTTAAACAAAAATGGAGAAAGTGGACAGCCTTGGCGGACGCCACTTGAGGTTGCGAAAGCAGATGACAGTTCGCCATAAGCTCTGACTCGACTAGTAGTGTTCTAGTAAAGAGCCTTCACAAGGGTTATGTACTTCTGAGGTACACCTTTCAATGACAGACACTTCTGCAGAACCTCTCGGTCAACAGAGTCAAACGCTGCTTTTAAGTCAAGGAAGACCACTATTGTCGGACGCCGATAAGTATGCCTGTGTTCTAGAACCTGACGAATGGTGAATATGTGGTCGATGAAGCCAGCCTGATTTTTACGTGTTTGCAGTTCACGAGTCTTAGTTAGGCGTCCGATAATTATCGAGGCCAGTATTTTAGATACTATATTAGTTAAACTAATCCCTCTGTGGTTGTCACAGGATGATTTTGACCCTTTCTTAAATATTGGGACGATAAGTGATTGTGACCAGTTAGATGGGATAACGTCTGACTCCCAGATTTTAGCTAAAATATAAGTCAACCTAATCGCTAAAACTAGACCACCATCCTTAAAGACCTCTGGGGCCAATCCGTCTGGACCAGCTGCCCTTCCTCGTTTCAGATTAGCTATAGCCTTTTGAACTTCAGCTAGAGTTGGAGGACCTACTTCAATGTTCCATTCATACTGTCTGGGAATAGAGGGTAGTTGTAGAGTAGCTGAAGGCTAACTGAACTGCTCCTTAAAATGTTCCGCCCATCGTTCTAAACGTCTGGACTGGGAGCAGATGAGAGTGTCGTCTTTTTCCGAAATAGTCTGACTTACACTTGATTTATTAATTCCAGTTTCTTTTATTGGTCTGTAGAGTTGTCTTGTGTTCCCTATAGCCGCCGCCTTTTCCATCTCTTTTGCTTTCGTTGCCCACCACTGCTCACGATCATTCCTTAGACTTTTGCTTAACCTAGATCTGATTTCTTTACGCTCTTCATCGTGTTCAGAACCTGATGGGATGAGTTTACGAGAATCCATCAGTGTAATAGACCTTGAAGAAATCCATTGGTTCTCAGTAACCCTTTGGTTTAAGTCACTAATAGATGTCAGTGCTGTTTCCACAGCTGTTCGTATATCTTTCCAAGCAACATCTGGGTCAGCCTCGTTTTCAGAACTACCTAAGTGTGACCTTAGTTGTTCCTGGAACCTACTTTTGGTTTTCTCGTTACTTAGTCCAGTTCTAATGGGTCTTTTTAGTGTGGCTTTTTTGCATCCAGTGAGGCGCAAGCAGATGCGTGCTCGTATTAGGACATGATCGGAGTCAAGGCAGGTACTCCAGAATGAGCGACAATCTTCTGTCGACCCTCTCCAACGATGACTGATGGCAATATGGTCTATTTGAGTCCATCGTTGGTTTGGTGCAGGGGGTCGCCATGTTAGACGATGTCTCTCCTTATGCTTAAAATTTGTGTTTGCTAAAAATAAACGATTGTCTGAGCAAAGTTGCAGCAGACGATCACCATTATCTGTTCTCTGTGCCGGAATACTAAAATACCCACCTAAATGTCTTTCTGTTTCGTTTAAGCTACCTACCTGGGCATTAAAGTCGCCTGCTACGAGTACTATGTCTGAACGTTTAGCTTTCTGAAGAAGTTCAGAGAGTTTTCTGTAAAATTCATCTTTCACTTCATCCGAACTTCAGTCAGTGGGAGCGTAGGCAGAAACGACGAAAAGGCAACGACATGTGTCCCTATTCTTTCGAGTTCTTACGGAGCCGTTTAGCCGAACAGCGCATAGACGACTATTAACGGGGATCCACTCTAATAGCGCTTGTTCCGCCCTCATGCTTAGTGCTATGCCTACACCTGCCAGTCCACGAGAACTAGCCATCGGGTCGCCAGATACACGGAGGGTGTATATCGTCGGCTCTCCGTTTTGCCGAGGTGAGGTCAAGTGAATGACCACACTAGGATCCTGTATGCGTGTTTCGGAGACACAGCATACATCAATGGTACGAGATTCTAAGGTTTTAGCCAAGGAAGCCTGCTGACCGATTTGGCATAGTGTGCGTACGTTGAAGGCTCCAATGTGTAGTTTGGAGCGAGGTTTCAGTAGACCTGGGACAGTGTTTTGCGCACTAGAATCGTTGGCTGTGGTGACACTTGAGGAGGAAGCCGAAAGAGGGAGTTTAGATTTGAAAGTCGATGTAAGAGGAATAATAGGAATTGAAGAGGTACGTTGATTATGAATACAGTGGTCTTGAGTGCTGTTAGAGATATGAGTTCGGTTATCACTTCCCGGTTGCCCACACCGTGGAAGGGTTCTCCTGGAGGTACCTGAAAAGGAAATTGGATTAGAGGTAGTCATAGTGACCTGAGAGCGTGACCGCAGTGCTCAAGGGACAGCTGCTTGAGGTCGGTCACACACGACCTTTTTATGAGTAATTTTTGTGTTAGCTCCGTACTTGTTGAGACCTTACCGCCGGAGTCGGATATCCGTGGGATAAGGCGAGGTGTGCATTTTTAGGGTCGACCTTTTCTAACCCCACCCCTCCTTTTGGGAAGGCAGCATCGCTGTTATGCTGGTTGTCTGAAGGAAACACCTTACTGCTGTCACACCTCTGTACAGTCAGCAGTACGAATTCGCCTTCGGACCTTGGTTTTGTTGCTTTTAGTCTTACCGCTCTTCAACCGACCTGTCTGGCATGGTAGGACCTTGAGGAACGGTTGTTCCAGCCAGTATAGCTCAGTTGCTTCATCACGATAGGCAAGCCCGACCACCACGTCAAGGTAGCAACAACGGTCGGGATACTAATATTTCAAAACCTGTTGAAGAGTAAGCAAATAAATAATACATAAACGACCAAATCTGGGACGCAATTCTTTTCAGATATGTTGTTACCAAGTCCCGGTTATGCATCGGATGATTGAACAAATCAATATCCCGGAAACTGTACTGATTAGACTTATTTTTGTGTGGTTAGTACAGATCTATTCATTCAACATACAGAATCAACAAATGTTTGTCAGAAAACTGATGGAATTGTGTCGGGCTTACGAACTACCTAACATCAATCACAAAGATTGAACCGTTAGGGTCTCTTCCACTTTCGCTTAAAGTCATGCTTCAGAACCCTGTCAGAAGTTGGAGGCTTGATTATTATTTAGATGTCGGGATAAAAAAGACAATCTGGAAGTAAGTACAACCCAGTCATTCTGTTTCTTAAGGTGTTCTACCCATTATACCAATCATCTGGCACATAAATTAATCACTGGGCCGTCTTTTTACAATGATGGTAACTTTCAACTAGTTCCCTTACCCGTCTAAAAAATGGTGGGTGGTACCTATTGCCACTGCCTGTACCATCTGTTTTGTTTTCCTCGTCTAATGCCAACATATTTGTCAGTATTCATTTACCTACTGTTTGTTTGTCGCTGTGGTTACAGTTAGCTGAAACGAGTTTTCGAGAAACTATCAGTACAAACAAGACTCAAAAGTCATTGAGCTTTCCAACCATTTTAAATCGATTGGTTTAGAGACAACACTGTTATAATTACATACTAATTCCTTTCTTCTACAACTAAAGAGCAATAACGATAAATATATACCAAAAGAATAAAAATGAGCTTCAGGTAACTACTAGTGACCTGGCTGCACTTCTTGATTTTCGTAGGAATGACTGTCAGGGAATGAACAAACTGATATAGCCATTAATAATGATAATAACTGATAAGCCTAAGAGAGTGAGAACTGAAGTTTAATATACGTAAATCCCGTTTCTACGGTCCTCAGCTGTGTTTTTTGTCCAAAATGACCATTAGTCTGGACAAAGGATGGCAAATAACCAAACAAAAAATAAACCATAAACTTATTAACCATTTATCTGTGATACATAAACAAATGTCGATCAGCAGTGAGCGGCCATAAAAGAGAGTGCTTCCTTCATTGAAGATAAAAGGAAAAATAATCCAAGATCTAAATTGAAAGACAACAAATAGGCAAACTATTACTTATCATATGATATATGTTGCTTCATTTATTTATTGCTCGACTGACTTGAAGTACGTAAAGTTCAACAAGATATAGTATCAAAGATATAAAGGCTATTTCTCAATAGACTAATATCATGAAAAGCCCACTACTACACTTAACCATGACTAAAACATGATGAATGCAGTTCAATAAATAAATTAACTAATGAAGCTAAATAACTACTTCAGAAAGAATTAATAGATAATATCTTGCACATATACTTAAAATCAAACCAACTAGAAACATTGAATTTTTACCGAATGACTAAAACAGACAAAAATGAAGGTAAATAGATTGTCTAATAAATAGTGTTTAGTTGTGAAATATCTTCAAAACTAACAGAGTTCGTACAGAAACATTTAAGATGTATATATTACTAATTACTCACGAAAGCAGTGAAATGATAACATGATAAACTGAAAAACGCTGAATTCTGAGTGGTTAAGTTTTAGTTCAAGTTTACACATTGCATATCAGTCAACAAGGACAAAAAAATAAAACTAAATTTTGGAAAACAATATTGTTATATTCTAACGAATATTAAATTGTAGGTAACTTTTGAGAGCTATTTATGGAGTTTATATATATATATATATATATATACTTATTGTATAACTGTTAGGTTACTAGATTATATATATTTATATTCCTTTTATCATAAGCTTTTATTTAACTTATTGACTACTACTATACGATTTACTATTCTTAAGGTATTCCCAATCTATTAGTTACAGTAACTCACATTCACAGCCACTTTTGGCTCGATCTTGTATAATTGTTATTTTCTATTTAATGGTCTGATGCGGTCCGATTTGCTTGTACATAAACTGTATATGTCTGGAATACATGGTTCATACAGTGGTAACTGAGATTGTGTTCTGGACTGAACCAGACGGGTTAGGCGAAAGCCTAACATCTCAGAGTTGATTCTAGGCTGCTCGTACTGGTGTATGTGTTATTGGTTCGGCACAGCATTAAGGTCAGTGTTCTATTCGAGATCTTATCACGTGACAACTGACAGGGCATAAGAATACAACAATTATCATTAGTCAAAACAATCCCAAAGATAAGCAAGAGAAGCAAGATGATAGGACAACAAAAAGCAGACAGACTTAAACCAATATGGAACATACCACATAGGGTCAACAAAAATTGAAGTAAGTCACTAATGGAGTAACCAAGATGTCCATATATCAACCAAAGGGCGAGTATACTGCACAATAATCCGTTCTGTACTACTCTGTCTATGAAACATGGTGTTTTAAAAGTAGGAGATATGAATAGACTGCATGTTTTTGATTACAAATGTCTTCAAAGTACTGGTATTGTACTGTACTGTACTGTGGAACGACTGAGTAATGTCGAGGTTAGATGATGAATTAGTTGAAATTATGAATATCTGTCGAATGAAGTTATTAGGATATACATCAAGTACCCACAATCACCACATACCTTGATGCACGATACGGGCTGGAAGATAGTAAGGATCACCCAAACCAAGATGGTTCATCAGTCCATCTAGTTAATGGGTGTTAGTCTGAATCACGTTGATAGGCACAAACTACCTGGTTGGAGGCAGTTCGATCATCGTGATCAATAGTTGAAAATGTTGGGCAACGTAGTTCAGAACCAGTCACAATGATGCAGATGCATTTACTCTTAGTTCGAGAAGTCACTTTCTCAAATTATATTCTGTATGGACAAGTGTTTGTTAGACTAAATGATAGTATTAATACTTCTACTCCTCTTGTTTTTATTTTGGTAATTTCATCTGGCTGTGTTCATGTGGAGTGGGAAGTTGGGTCAATGCACATACGCGTCGCTTTCTACATTGCTTATGTCTGACTCCATAATATTTTGTAAACTAAATGAATTTACTAGTATTTAATACAGCACATTAAGATATAGGAACATTGTTCAAACTCTAAAATCGCTCGTTTGTTTGGGTACATGTGTTAACACATCACTTGAAAACTAAACTTAAAGTATTAACAAAAAATTACTTTGTAGTCAATGAAGTAGTGTGTTATCTTTGTTGTTTTCCCATCAACATCCGTTTCCAATTGTAATTTCGACTTAATAAATTGGTCACATTTTAGTGTGTGCAGATACTGTCTTAGTTGTTTCCTTTCAAAGCGAAGTCTTTCACATAGGTCATCCTCTTTCATAATTGTATTACGTACCTAGGAATAGAAAAAGCAAACAACGTAAACTGTCATAGAAAAGCTAAATAGTTTTTCACGAATGATAATCGTTGTGTGATAAAAGTAACATAATTAGCAGTGTTTAAATCTTTGTGTATATTTTTCTTCCAGCGAGAGAAAAAACAAGACTATTCAACATAACCGTGAACCACATAAACAGATCAGAAATAGCAACCACAGTTACTGGCTTCAATTCTTCATTTGTTTGATATATCAACAGTCAAACCTAATTTAAGGGCATCTAGTTCATTGATGTTTTGATAGTTCGACAATTACAGGAATTTTACTGACTTCAAGTATTAAAAATATTTAAAATAATAGGCTGACTTTAATCTAATCTGTTTTTGATGTCAACTACTTAGAGTTTCTTGAAAGAAGAGTGTAGATGCACAATGAATCAACTTCAAAGAAGAGGTATAGGACAGATAAAGCGTCAGTTCAGTGACGATTTTGGGATTTTCTGAAACAACAACGCGAGAAATATGATACATATAATGAACAAATTTAGACCGGTGTTGTGCAGTTTGTGGAAAGAGAAAGACATATCAAACAATAGACGAGCTACACTTCGAAAACACAAAGTTTAACTGGAACATAATAAGAGAGTCAAAAGAGTTAGTTTAATAAAGCTGACAAACTCAGTTACTACCATGGGGTAGAAAACGAAAGGATAATCCATAACGCTTTGTTTCTGCTCTGCTTGGGAACAGTGTGAGCAATAAATATTTCATTTTATTTGAAACATGTCATATGTTAGTGTTTCATTACGATAAATCTGAACAGCCACAATCGGTCAATCAGTTACAGCATAAAACCTGTATATATGTACATGGTTCAATTTGCCATACCGTATTAGCACAGAAAGACGAAGTTGTCAGGCCAAATCCCAAAATATTAAAGGTAGTAACAGCATCAATGGCAATAGGAAAGATTAGATATCAAAGATACAACTCGAAAAGAAAATATAATTCAGTAAAGTAAAAACCCCAAAATAGTTGTAAGGAATTTAGCGTCACAGAATTTGGTGGAAGGCAAAGAACAGATGCATCTACACCACTGGGAACGATTTTGAGCAATGTCATTAAAAGTCTAGAACCACCGGTTACGATAATCACACAGACTCCAAACAGGTGGTCTACATCTATTAAAACAACTAAGTTTAATTGTCTGTGACTGGTGACATGTTTTGGTTTGGCTGCCCTTAATTTTCTTGCAACCTACTTCTAGACTACAAAACACCGCCTGTTGGAGTATGAGGTAGTTAGGTATACGTAAACACGTCCTAACCACTTTAGGTGGTGAAGATTTACTACCTCATCAATCGATTTCCCATCCTTACTTAATACTCTATTCCTAACCCACAGAATTGATTTCTAGGTGTTTCCAAAACACACATCCATAAAGCAGGTAGGAGCGAACTGTTGATCAGTGAAACTGTCCTTCGGTTAGCAGACAGATACCTTTCCTATGTTACAAGTGACGCAAATTGGAGAAAGCCAGTCGAGCCTTCCGAATCAGTGTTGAGATTTTGCCAGACGCCAGACCACCAGTACCGACGAGACTTCCAAGATAAGTGTAGCGGTCGATGCGTTCAAATACTTAACCCCCCACCATTATTTCAGGTGATGACGCAGGCCGAGTCTGAAGTAACATTTGGAGGGATTATTGCTTAAGGTGATCGGAAAACTGCATTTTGTCAGCGTCTTCACAAAATACAACTATATCATCTGCCTGATCTAAGTTCACAAGTGAATCTCTAGGTAGAAGATCAGTCCCTCAAAAGTCAGTCGACGAAAGTGTTATCTTTAGAAACATGTCTATGGCAAAGTTAAATAAAAATGGAGAAAGTGAACAAACCTGACGAACAGCATTTGAAGTGAACAATACCGATAAGTTTGCTATAAGCCCTGACTCAACCAGAAGAGTTTGAGTAGAGAGCCTGTACAAGGTTGATGTACTTTATTAGTACGTTTTCAATGACAGGCACTGCCACAAAACCCCAAAATAAATGGAGTCAGACGTCGTCATTAAGGTCACGGGACACAGCTATAGTTGGACACTGGAAGGTATGTTTATGTTCCAGAAACTGTCGAAGGGTTAATATTGGGTCTGTACATACATGTTCAGATCAGAAACCAGCCTGATCTTCTCGACTTATTGAAGCTTATATCTTAGACATTATATACTTCAGAAAGATACCTCACTGCCAACTCAATCTGACCGTTATATTCAAAGCAGTAAGCATGTTTTTCCTAATGAAGAAGCAAGTGACGAATCATCCGATTAATTTTCTCCACTCAATGAAGCCTAATTTCGCCATCAATTATGTAATTTCTTGTCACATTAAGGTTTATGACCTGAATTTTATGAAACTAATGTATTTAAAGTACTCATGACATAAAATACGAAAACAGCAATACAATTCTCATAATTGTTTCAGTCTTTCTAGTTCAAATACACTATCAAGAGACCATAACATTTAGTGTTTTTATCTTCCAGTCTCATCACTGCTCTCCTCATTTTGTTTTTACTTTTGATTTCTTTCATTTGATTAGAATTTAGCTCTTACTTTTTTCCCATATAACTGATTCTGTTAACCTAATCAGTTTGACAGGTGAAATTTGCTGCTCGATAATAATAATTATCATAAGATAAACAAGATTCACAAACATTTGTTTAATTTAGGTACCTATAAAATAATTTGTGATAAAAAGAAGGTTGATTCTGAATAATCGTTCTCTTTTGTTCAGAATTAGTATTTTACAGAGTGTAAATTATTTCTCTAAGTCCCCCCTCTCTCTGATTGGTTGAATCAAAAAGTTTCTACGTCATTAATAACGATTACCCAGAAAAATTCATTTCTCATTTATTTAGTTATTATTTTCTACGGTACTTTTACTTTTTACTCACAATTTATTTTCCTCCTTATGTATGTTTATGATTTGATAACTATTTTTTAATTTGATTGCTAATGCAATAATTAATTATATCGTTGATGCTTAACAGCTTTTCTTTGTTCTGATGTGTTGGCCTTCAGAATTGTGATTCAGAGCCATACAGGATGAGTTTCTAAGCATCTATCAATTCTGTAAACGCCACTGAAATCCACCGATTTTTCTTAACCCTTTGGTTTAGGTTACTAGTAGGTATCACTCCTTTTTGGATATCACATCAAGCTACATCGGGGTGGATACCACTTTCACGGTTGGACAGCTCCTTCTCTAAGGGGTTTTCTTCTTGACTTTTCTACGTCCAGTGAGATACAGACAAATACGTACTCAAACTAAAGCATGATCCGAGTCTAAACATGTGCTCCAGAATGAGACTTCAATCAAGCCACTGCAACGATGGCAATGTGATCTATTTGAGTAGATTGCGGATGTCGCCACGTCAAACGACTATTCTTCTGATTAAAGTTGGTGTTTGCCAGAATTAAATGGAAGAGACGGTGCCATTATCTGTTCTCTGAACCGCAACACCGTAAAATCCGCTCAAATGTCTTTCGGTTTGGTTGAGTCTACTTACCTGAGCACTAAAATCACCTGCCATTGTTGCTAAGTCAGAGTGTTTAGCTCTTTGAGGAAGCTTGGTTAGCTTCCCACAATTATCCGAGCTGCAATCAGTGGAAGGGTAGGCAGAGACAACGAAAAGGCAACGTCGTGTGACCTTATCATCTCGAGTTCGTACTGTACTGTTTAGTCGAACAGAGCACAAGCGATTACCTATTGAAATCCAGTCTAACAAAGCCTGTTCTACTTTAGAACTTAACGCTATACCTGCACCAACGAAACCCCGGAAGTAGCAATGGGTCTCCAGATGCTGAAAGAGTAAG